CGGGGTAGCATCTGATGAACAGCACCCGAGTTGGCTTCTGGCCTCGACATGCACACATGTGTGCACACACATGCACATGAACACAGCCACACAGGTCCAAATAGACACAAAATAAAAATAACTAGTAAAACCAAAGATTCTGTCATGCTACCAAGATTTGTCTTTAAGGTAAGAATAAGAGTTTGTGGAAATTATTAAATACACAGAGTAATCAAAATACTACATATGTCTTAGATAAACAACACTGCACCCTAGTTTGGCATGTGACCAGTCTTAGGAAACACATCTAGTGAATCTGTTGCAAGTTCTGATGCTGTTCAAATACTTCCTCCTCAAATACAGAGTTGTATGTGATCGTATGCATTTTCCTTCTGTTTGTAGAGATCCTAATCAGCCAGTTCCTCAGGACACCAAGTTCATTCACACTAAACCCAACCGGTTTGAGGAAGTCGCCTGGTCCAAGTACAATCCCAAAGACCAACTGTATCTGCACATCGGACTGAAACCCAGAGTGAGAGATCACTACCGAGCAACGAAAGTCGCTTTCTGGTTGGAACTGGTTCCCCACCTGCACAACCTGAACGAGATATTCCAGTACGTATCGACCACCACGAAGGTCCCTCCACCAGATATGACATCCTTCCCTTATGGGACCCGGAGATCCCCTGCCAAGATATGGCCGACCACCAAACGCCCAGCCATCACCCCTGCCAACAGCCCCAAGCATTCTAAAGACAATCAGAAGACGGGGCCTGAAGACACCACTGTCCTCATTGAAACCAAACGGGATTATTCCACCGAGTTGAGTGTCACCATCGCCGTGGGGGCATCCCTCCTGTTCCTCAACATCTTGGCCTTCGCGGCACTTTATTATAAGAAGGATAAACGACGTCATGAGACACACAGGCGCCCCAGCCCCCAGAGGAACACCACCAATGACATCGCTCACATCCAAAATGAGGAGATCATGTCTCTGCAGATGAAGCAACTGGACCACGAGCATGAGTGTGAATCCCTGCAGGCTCATGACACGCTGAGGCTCACGTGCCCTCCCGACTACACCCTGACGCTCCGCAGGTCCCCCGACGACATCCCACTGATGACACCAAATACCATCACCATGATCCCAAACACATTGACCGGGATGCACCCGTTGCACACCTTCAACACCTTCAGCGGAGGACAGAACAGTACAAATTTACCCCACGGACACTCAACAACCAGAGTATAGCTTTGCAGTTCCCTCCCCTCCCTTCCCTCCCTTCCCCCACCCCTCTCCTTCTGCACCACAGAAGACATCAAGGAGAAGAGTCAAAGGGAGAGGGCGAAAATGTCCCAATCTGGAAAGGTTTTTCATTCGCCTGTTTCAAGACAGACACGTGGAGGGCATTTTACGATAGATGTGCAGGACCCCCTGGCCCTTGACTTCTTCCTGACTTGCAGTAGCAGCACCACACCCTAAGAAATGTGAAACCCATACATTTCTGTTCCAATACTGCTTTAAGATTTCCAACATGCCAGAAAACTAAAGCATCATCATTCCACGGACCTGGATCTTTCCAGAATAACCGTAGGGAGTGACTCTTCTGGAATCCAGCCAGGACATCTCTTTTTATTTTAATTAAAATCCAATCCGTGGGGAAAAAAAACGAACAAAAGTCCTTATGTGCCATACAACGGATGGCTCTTAAGCAGAGCGATTGTCTGTACGTTTTTAATCCGGCTATGGAGATGTAACTCAGAGAGAAGGAAAAGTAGAATTTTATTATTCAAATAAAAGACGTGACTATGCAGAAAAAAAAATAAATAAAAACCGTACAGTTCTGTGCAAAGAGAGCTTTTGCTAGCCTGAACTATATTTAAGAAACTTTGTAAAAATAATTAAAAGATGTATATAGCTGTGCGTTTAAACATAAACACACACACAGAGGGGGGTAAAGCTTTTATTGATGTTTTCAGTTTGAAAGAGCTTTTAGCGAGATTGTGGTTTTCATTGTTTTTCGAATGTATATAAATATATATATATATACACATACATTAGTCACACCACCTCTGTTCCCCACCCCCCCAAAAAAGGACGCTTTTGTTCCGAATTACTTGTGTAAACAAAACCTGGGGTTTTCTAACTCATCTCACTGGTAGTAAGATTGTGGTGTCTTACAGAAGAATGCTGATGGTCTGTGTCGTCGGTCTGTGACTCATGTTTCATGGAGTTTCAGTACAAAAGTCGGTCCCAAATAAGAAGGTGTCTTGAGGCGTGTCTGCTTCCAACCACGCATACAGGAAGTCCCAGCGAGCGGAAAAAATGTATATGTGTACAAGTGTCACTCTGTGATTTGGGTCCTTCGAGTATAGTTAGCAAGAGTTGGTGCCCGTCTTTGAGCCCTGCCCAAAAAGAAACAAAGCTTGCCTTTGGTGGGTCACAGCCCTGGACTTCAGCAGGTGCAAAAGGTTTTGGCTGATGAAATACCTGTTCAGCTTGGATAATCAGGTTGAAGGAGGACGGGTTATTTTCCGTTCACCTGCAAGTCCTTTATTTATTAGTACTGAGGGGTTTTTCTGTTCTGTTCTGTTTTCGTTTTCTCCGTATATCATTTGTAGGATAAAACATACGCTTGTCTGAAAATAACCCTTTTGTGGATTTCTGTAGCGATCACCGATCAACAAATATTATTGAAGAATGGAGCAAACAGAGATAGAACATTAAAAGTGCTTTGCATGGGTTTCCTGGGAAATTCCGATTGCTTCCCTATCAAGATTAGGAGCAGACGTCAGTCAATTCACCCCTTTGAAACTGGCCACCAGGCATCAGAGATACTTAGCCCCAAACACTTGTCATTAAAAAAAAAAAAAAAATCCCTTTTAATTTTCCTTTAAGGGAAGTTTTGGGTATCGTAAGAAAGAAAGCTAAAAGCTTTTAGTGTTTTTGTCTTTCAAAAGTTACCACATCATCTACAAACTGTGGCCAAAGATGTTTAAATTAAAAACGACAACAGAAACCTTTCTGGCCTCAATTGCTGATTTTCCTGAGGCCTGTCTTAGCCAAGGTGGGCATTCTGCATAAATGTTTTCCATCTGCCTCCTCTATACGGAAAAACAACCTTTGAAGAATGAATTCCACACACCAGAAAGCCCCTAGCAGTTTATTACATGATCAGATCTCTAAAAGAAAAAAGTGTTCATAAAGATGCATACAGCCACACGATTCATCTGCTTGCTTATATGCATTTAAATTTGAGGGTCATTCCCTGTATATAAATGCATGAGATATACGGACCAGACCTTAACACACATGAAGTGATATTCTTTTCCTTTGCACTGCGGCCTCATGGAGCTGTTGAAGATGTTGGTCCCCAATGCATCCATCTGGCCTCAGGTCATTCCTTTGAAGCTGTGTATCTCTCCTGCTGGGCTAGTCAACAGGTTTAAAGGGTGTGATGTTTGGCATCCATGTTGGATAGCTATGTTTGTTATGTAAATTCCAGTATTTGTTTAGTCTCCCAACTGTCTGCTGGTAGCAACATACACAGTCACGTGTCAGACCAGTCGTTACTGGACTAAGGACAGAGTTCCTGTTAAATCGATAACTTTAGCTTTTACAGAGGAGGAGGGTGAAACGCAATCTAATACGTTGCGAAAGTTACCGTATTTCTACGTGAAAGAGGATATAGAATCTTCATAGAGTTCTATCAGAAAAGAAAATATACTTGCTATCTATAAAAAAGAGAAAAAAGAAAAAAAAAAGGAGAAAAAATTAAAAAAATACTTTCTTAGGCTTTTATTCTTGATCTTCGAAGGCACGCAGGGTTCAATGGTTTCCTTGGGTCATTATTTTGCAATTTTGTTTTTGATTTTGCCTTAAGTAATGATAAAAGATATATATGGCTGGACACATATGTATAAACTTTTCAGTGGCATTTTTAATAATAAAATATCACAGTATTTTCTAATGCTTTGTGCAAATACGTGCGCGTCCTTTCTTTCTTTGCAGGCTGCGTTCTTGTTTTCAGCGTAGGCCTCTTCCCTTTGAACGTTGAAACATGCGTCAACTGGGGAGGGACTGCTTTCCTAACATTTACTTTAAAGTTTTATTTATTTACTTATTTTTGTTTTGGTCTTCAGACAGGTCTCCCTGTAGCTGCAGGTGGCCTGCTATGTGTTTATATTATAGACCAGCCTGCCTTGACCAAACAGAGCTCCGCTTGCCTCTGCTTCCTGGGCGCTGGCATTAAAGGCGTGCACCAGCATGCCCAGCTTGGATTTATTTTATTTGTAATTATGTGTATGTTCCCCTGTCTGTGTATGTTTATGTGTACCAAATGAATGCAATACCTACACAGGGCAGCACAGACAAGGCAGCCTGAGTTACAAGTGCTTTTGAGCTGTCTGATGTGGGTGTTGGGGATCAAACTCAAGTCGTGTTCAAGAGCAGTAACCACTGAGACTCAGCATGAGTGTCTTTCCAACCCCAGCCAGCGTTCTTTCCCCAAGTTCGCACAATTTCTGCCCCAGTGCTGTTCTGTGAGAAAGCCCTGTCTGTGAAAGCCGTTAGTAAAATGCTCCGAATACAATGTTTGAATTTACTGTGGGTCTGTTGTGAGTTGTGCTTGGCATGAAATTGCCTTAAAGCTTTGAAACAGAGACGGCGCTTTGAACAAATGTCTCAGTAGCAGCGAGAGCTCACGGTGAATAAAATCTAGAAGAAAATCAGACCCCAGGGAGTTAATTTGCAAAGACTCACTTGGAGGTTAAAATCATGTGCTGGTCTTGCAGGGGACCCAAGTTCAGATGCCAGCACACAAGTCATGCACTCACGTACACATAAACACACACACACACACACACACACACACCACACACACACACACGTATGCATATTTTCATTTTTTTATCAAGAACAATCGTTAGAAGTGCCATGAAGGTTTACAATAATTAAAAATAAGTCAGGCATGGTGACTTACACCTTTAGTCCCAGCATTTGGGGAGCAGAGGCAGGCTGATCTCTGTGAGTTTGAGGCCAGCGTGGTCTACTCAGTGAGTTCCAGGCCAGCCAGGGCTACGTAGTGAGACCCCCATCTCTAAATAAATAATAAATAAAGAAGTAAAGAAGTAAAGAAATCTTAATCATGTTATTTTCTGGGATAGATGCTTTTTTTTATTGCCTTTAACACCATCAGAAGACTAGCCAACGCCTAGCCAGATATTTATTAATTTTTGGCTAATGCTGATTTTAGGAAAAAGAAATGTCTAAGGTGGGAACCTTAGACATCTGTCATATAGTTAAACCAATATTGGAGTGCCTGGAACTGGAGTTACGAGCAGTTGTGAACTACTCAGTGTGGGTGTTTGCAATTGCACCCAGGCCTTCTGCAAGAAACTTATGCTCTTTCTTCTTGTCCTGCACACACATCTCTGAAATTTAAGTTTGTATGTGTTTCACTGGTCCTAGCAGGAAAAGAAACATCATGTGATGCTAGGTTACTTTTTGGACAGTTGAGCTGTGATTTTATAATACAGCATTGAAGAAACCATAGTGTACAGTTTGGATATACAGCCTTTAACCCCAATGTTTGGGAGAGAAGAATTACAGTTTCTTTTAAGTTTATTTTTAATCGTGTGTGTGTGTGTGTGTGTGTGTGTGTGTATGTGTGTGTGTGTGTGTGTGTGTGTGTGTGTGTGTGGTTACAAGTACAATGTCCTCAGAGGCCAGAAGAGTGTGTTGGGGGGCCTGGAGCTGGAGTTACAGACAGTCATGAACTCCCCAGCGCAGGTGTTTGCAATTGAATTTAGGCCTTCTGCAAGAACCGCACGCCCCTTTGCAGGCTTCAGAATCTTTGCATGTAAATCACGACACGCGTAGTTCTTGATAAATTTCCCTTACATTTCTTATACAGCATGCATGGACGTTCACATAGCCTTCAGCTAATTTTAGACAATATTTTCAGCCCACGTGGCTTCAGACCACAAGTTGGCACATGGAATCAGATGTGAAGTATTTTCCCTAAGTTGGAACTTCCTGGAACTCGTGAAGGTTTGAATTTTGGAAACTTCAGAAACTGATTTTTTGTTTGTGCGTAGTCCTAAGCTGTGGTACGTTTTTAAATGTATTCATTTCCTGACCTCTATATTTCATTTTTGAACTTGATTAAATGTATCCTGCGCATTGGGAGACACAAGGTATGAATGTCTATGTTCACCCCTGAGTTTAGAAATATTTAATATTGATATTTAAAGCAATACCTGAGTGATACGGGAAAAGAAGAAGTTGCTTTATATCTGCAAAAGCATTTGCCAAAATATGTGACCAGCTTTGAACTTCAGCAGTTCATAGAATTCCTAAAATATCCCCTCATTAAAAACAATGATTGGCCATGGAGAAGGTTCAGAGCGTAAAACCACTTTCTTCTGCAACCTGATAATCTGAGTTAGTGCCATCCCCAGAACCCTCAAGAAGATGGAAGGAGAGAAAACTGTTCTGTGTCCCGCAAATGTGCGTGCTATGCCACATCATACACCTCCCCTCCACACACATACTTTAATGATTAATGGAAATTTTTAAAATAGTATTAATGGTAAGTGGGGCTGGAGTGATAGTTCAGTTGTGAAAAACATTTGCACGTAAACATAGGAATCTGAGTTTGGTTCCCAGAACCCCGTCAAAGAATCCTGCTGAGTCGTGTGCTTGTACAAAGCACTAGCGAGCACACACAACTGCATCTCAAGGGTTCACTGTCCAGCCAGTCTAGCTGAATTGGTGAGTACCAGGCCGAGAGGCACAAGGTCTCAAAGGACAAAGGTCCATTTGAAAAACAAATAATTAAAGAGTCGAAGCTCAGAGAAATGGCTCAGTAGCAGGAGACCTCGAATCAGTTCCCAACATTTACCATGGTCGCCTGAGTGAGCTTGTAAGTCCCGTTCCAGAGGACGTGATGCACTCTTCTGGCCTCTGTGGCCATTGCATACATGTGGTGCACATAAGTTCATGGAGGTGAAACACTCATACACATAACATAAAAACAAATATAAATAAACAAATGGCAGGCGAAGAATGACTGAAGTTGTGTTCTGGTTGGTCTCGAAATGCACGTTCGTAAGTACGCATGTACACTCGGCACGCACACACAGGAACACACACACATGCAGAGACTAGGAAGCATAAGTAAAATAATGCATACGATTTATTGTGTAATGTTATGAGAAACGTCATTGTAGGATCAGGTGAATGGGAAAAGCGTTTGCCTTTGACTTCTCTTATTCGAAAGAGTGGCCTACAACTTTCAATGACAGCATTTATGCAAAGTTTGGAGTAAAAAGTAGGTTGTGAGTTGGAAAAATTTAATGTCCCATTTATTCCCATCCTTCTACGAGCCTTGAACTCTTGCATATATGGATAAACTAACTTCTTATGAAGAATCCCGACTTTGCAGCCCGCATTTCTAGAAGATACAGAGGCTTGATTGGCGTCTACACCAAAGTGCCAGACCATGACCCCACGTTCCTTTCTTTTTTAATGATACGTCCTTTGCCTTTGAGATACACTGCTAGAAATATTGAAACCACATACTGCAATGTGTCTACTAGAAAGCAGAAACATTGTTTCTACTAGAAAGTAGCATTATGTATTTGACTTTTCCTATGTTTACACAACCTGTAACTAATAGTGGCTTTCTGCCTTAACTTTGAGACATGGTGTCTAGCTAAACCTGGAGCTTCTGATCCGGCTAGATCAGCTGGCCAGCGAGCACCAAGTCCCCTCTTCCTCCGCTCGGGAATTACTGGCGTGCGGAGACACGCCTGATATTTTCATAGATGGGCTGGAGACCCAAACAGGTCCTTATTCTGGTATTCCAAACACTGTACCCCAACTGAGACATCACTTCACCCCTGGGCTCCTTTTTGTTTTCCTTGCAGCTGCTGTGATACAGTCACCTCAGAAATCATTTGCACATGTACCGATTGCTCATTGAGATGAAATTTGGACAGAAATGGGAAGGAGGCAAGCTGGTAAGGGCCAATTGCTTTATATAACAGCAACTCCTATTGAGAATTGGGCATAGCAAACCAACCTCTTTAATCAGACAGATGATGTTGGTTGGCGACAGCTTTTAACTTACTGGCAGTGTCCGGTGAAATGTCAACGTCTGTGTGTCAGTTTGGAAGCACGTTCAACACCATTGCTTTGTCGAGTCTGTTCCCACGTGATTCTATTCTGTGTCAACCTGCAAATGCACGCTCCCACACACACACCATCATGGGCAGCCCTATGGTGTTCGTGACGATATGCTTCGAAGGATCAGTTGTGTTCAACACCATTGCTTTGTCGAGTCTGTTCCCACGTGATTCTATCCTGTGTCAACCTGCAAATGCACGCTCCCACACACACACCGTCATGGGCAGCCCTATGGTGTTCGTGACGATATGCTTCGAAGGATCAGTTGAAATCATGATTTCCAACTGAAAACTGTTTCTAAAGAATTTTATTACATGATGTAAATACAAAAACATAGTTGGTGCCCAAGCATTGTAGTGAAACAAACGCCAGTGGATACAGGGAGAAAAGGAAGAGGCGATCATGTTGCTATCTCCTGATGATCCGTTACAGAACTGAGATGGAGCACCTGCTTCCTGCCTAGATATCGGTATCAAGAATGATTTCAGTGATCCTTCTGACCAGTACCATAAATGGTAGTGTACTATCTTGAATGGCACATAATGACTACTAATAACAAAACTAGAATTTTTACTAAAAACCTTTTTCGTTAAGTCACAACCAAAGTGTGAATGAACACTTAGTTATGTACATGTAGGTGTGTACTTACGCAGGAGGTACTATTGCCTAACCTATTATATATAGAAAGCATATTTAAGTCATCAAACCAGAATGATGAGCCATAGAATAAATGTCATTATGAGCTAACTGGATATCAATTTG